ACTAAGCTCAAAGTGAAAAATTTGTTGAAAGGGCAAATGAGTTTAATATGAAATGTGTGTAGCACTCACAGCCCTGTACTATAGTAACTAACATGAGATCATCATCATCACCAATTTCATTTTGGAACTTGCATACCTAGGGAACCAGATCACTCTGCAGTTCTGATATAAACCACAGTGTCCACTCAGAAGTTCATAATGTTGATACAGAGTCCAAAGACCACTCTGAGATTTGGTTTCTTAATAAGTAAACATAAAAATCTTAGGGCCAGGTGTGGTGGCTCAAGCTTGTAATCCAAGCACTTTGGAGGCCAAAGAGGGTGGATCACTTGAGATCGGGAGTTGAAGACCAGCCTGACCAACATGGTGAAACCCCGTCTTAAAAACAAAAACAAAAACAAAAACAAAAACAAAAAAAAAACTTAGCACATTTACCTTAGTATTGCTATCCCTTGAGGCCCTATCTCCACAGTTTATAACAGATTAAGCTCTTAATCGCTCTAACGTTAATATTATCATCAATTGTTCTTTAGTTGGAATGATGCAGAAGAGGGGATTATCTTTGCCTGGTTCAGTTTTTCGAATGGTAAGACAATTTCTTTACAGTCCCCAGTTTCTAACTTTATTTTTATTTTCATCAGTATGATCATTTAAGTTACAGTCAAGTTTGTATAACCCATTTTGCTCCATTAAATTTCTAATGAAGAGTTAAACTTTTTATTTTGGAGTTCCTAATCAATCAGCTGTTAGAACTGGTATTTTTAACATAGCAAGAGATTAGATGTTTAGAAGTTGATGAACAAAACTTATGTAAGCCTTTTGCCACTTAAATGACTTTCTTCTGCCTAGCTTTCCAGGTTGATATTAGTGCATATTCTTCATTGGTTGGAGCAAATGAAGATAAGCAGTGAATTTCATTTAAGATGTTTAGGCAAAGACAAACACTCTTCGTTGACCATTAACTTCACTTTTACCACCAGCCCATAATTAGGCCTCTGATCGCAGCAGGGGTAGAAACAAGAGCTTCAGCAAAACTGGAACCACTCTGCAGGAAAAACATCTCCCATGGCAAAGTGAGTCCATGGTATCTTGCTTATTTTTAGGGAGGATGTATCAGATTTCAAATCATTGAATATTCAAAAAAACCCGAGTTCTTTGATATTAGCAAACAAATTACTTTTCTTGATCACCTTTTAACATGATTTGCTTCCCCAAGTGATGGCTGAAGTTCAAATAGACACACAAAACTTCTTGTTATTCGGTATAGTTTGTCATTTAGAAAAATAAAATTTGAAAATGCACACAATTTCCATGGACAAATTTACATGATTTTTACTAGTTTGTCCAGCTTTTTAAATCTTTGCCTTAGAGAACCTTTCAAAGAATTTTCAGTACAGGGAATGCTATAGCAATTCTGATAGCCTCCCAGAAAAAAATGTAATTTTTGATTTTGCAGATTGCTGAAGTCATACAGAGCATCACAATAACTTCTGGTTTCTACTGTGATAGATATGAAGTAATTGTACTTACACTAGTAGGCATAACAGTGTTTGTATTTGCCCTTCCAGTCCCTGTAAAAATAAAACATAGATCTCTTCTCCTTAAGCTCTGAAGCAATTCCAATAACTTATGCAAGACCTATATTTCTCTCTGCAAGATGATTTAACTTTCACCTGATTTAAGTAACAAAATAGCCCTCAAAGATACTTAAAGCCTTGCTGTAATTAACATAACTGCATTTAGATGCCATTCATGACTGATAATTCTAACACCTTGTGGGAAAAAAAAGAAGTTCCATGCTGTAAACATTATAAACATATTCAAATAAGCTTAACACAATCTGCCATGCTTATTTCTGCCTAGATCATGGACCAGCGAAATGGTTAATGCAAATGGATTTATAATTTGCTTTGGGGGGCCAGTTTCTTCTCCTTATTTATTAGCCCAGCTGATGGGGCAGATTTGATGAGGCACTTCTGGAATAATTGAGTCATCACACAAAGAAGGCTGCTAGCATTCAGAGTGGTTTTATCAGCAGCAAGCAGGCCTGATTACTGACAATTACACTCTGATCCGGTGATGGAGGAGAAAGAGCCAACGAGTGGGAAATGTCCGTGTTTCTATCCAGGAATAATTTCTACATTCATTTTACATGCTAAGTGTTTCCTATCTCTGCATAATAAACTGTAAACAGGAATAGATGGCACAATGTCCCTTAATATTTCCTGGTAATGAAGACACAAATGTACAGTGAGTGCTGATAAATATAGATGAAACATAAGCTATTCTCCCAGTCTGTATTGTTACCTTTAAAACAAATGCATTTTTGTGGTAAAAGCATAATCATAGCTAATGCAAAAAAATGACAGAAGATTGAAACTGTCCTTGTAACTACATAGAAACTTTGTAAAAGTCCTGTTAATCACTGCTGCTTTAAAGGCTGGGGAGCTGAAGGTGAGATACTAGAAATCACATCATTCTGTTTCTCAACAGTCAACTGTGAAGAACTCCTTGGGTTAGATGCAGCAAAGGACAGAGCAATAGTGACCTCCATTAACACTCAGAGAGAGCACATCTCCATGCTAAACTGAGAAAACAATGAAGCTGGCACAAGAAGACATCTTCACTAGCATGGATTTCAATTTCCCTTCCACCAGGCCTTTCAACAAAACGTTGATCATGAATAGTAAAGTGAGACCTGAGATGGCATGATTCGCCACACAGAGCAATGCCTGGCTGTCTTTGGGGTGGCATTTTTAACCACTTGTTTGAGACATGGTTTATTAACAGAGTACTATGAGCAAAAAGTGCATCTCACAGAGATGTCCGATTAAACTTGCTTTCCCACTGACTCAGGATCCACTTGGAAAGACCTAGAGAAAGGGAATGTTCAGACTTCTTAATGTGCTTCCATAGATTTTAGTGGGAAAGCTTTAATTTCCTGTATTATTAAGTTTCCTCTTTTAAAAAGCCAGTCGGGTATGAAGCCACATATAACGAACCTGCCTGGGTGTGTTTGCTTAATTTTTTCTCTAAAGCCACTTCCTGGCTTCCAGAGAAATAAAAATTATTCTCTGTTTTCCTGTGGTAACTATGGAAGTCTGTTTTATTAAACTAACCACTTAACTTCAACGCCTGTGTTGCAACTAAATGTGCTATTTTGAGTAAATCTACACTAAACAAACTCATGATGTCAAAACATTTTTAATAAAGTTCAAAGAGCACTTGTTTCACAAATAAAGCTTTTTACTATATAAAGGGAATTTTCTCTATTTAAGCTATTTCATCATACAGATTATTACACAATGTACTCGATAGCTTTAGACATTTTCCATTTTCTTTATCCATCTTTAAAAGGTTCTTTAGAATTTTATCAGAAAGTTGGCTCTTTTTCCCAACAGTAACTGTTTGTTTTTTTTTTTTTATAAAATCTCCCTCATATTTTGTTTTAAATTAAGATAAAAACATAATTATTTATCTTCATTACCTGACTATGAAATATGGAATGGGAGAATATACTGAAATTTGCAAAGAAAATGATGTGACTCAATTGTGGAGGTCAATGGGACATTGGATTTTTGCAGACTGATCCTTGGATTTTATTATCACTACAGTATTTAATTTAATACAGATTTTTTTAAAAGTACAATTATTTTTCTCCTAAGAATTTACTCTTTATTGGTTCAGTACACACTTATTGAGAAGATTTCTATGGGTTTCCATGCTAGACAGTGGGCATAAAAGAATATATAAAGCACAACTCTTGTTCTCAAGAGCTCAAACAAGGAAGTTGAATATTCCAATATAATGTGCCAGGTATTATTACAGAGGGAGGCAGAAAAAAGAATGGGAGCACAGACTTAGACCAGACTGGAAAAGCTTCCAGAAGATGGTGATTCCTAAAAAAATTCATCCCTAGAGAGATTCGGAGAACTGTGACAAGAATAAAGTAATGTCCCCAAAGACCAATTGAAAGGACACCAGTGGTTGAAATTGTAGTTGGCTTGGTTAAACAATGCATTAAGGCCATATTTTTATATAGTTACAAGAGGGTCAGAGACTTGATGGTCAAATTAGAGAACTAAAATTAAATGCTTTGAATTTCATGATTTCATTTGTATGTTTCAAAGGAACGTTTCCCTTTAGTGTCAGAATGGCAAGACTTGTCTGCTGAAATGTGATTTGTCATTCATATTGCGGTTGAGAGCATCGCCCAGAATTCTATATTCCAATAGTGTTTTGATAGCACCCTCATCTTGAAGACTATGTTCTGCCCGATATGATGCTTGCCCAAGTCTATTTTTTCTTCCCTGGGCTGGTGTGGGCACATGGAAGCAAAGGGCTATCTTGTTGACCTTTTGATGCAACATAATTTTATGACTATAGTAGGTGCCCAGTATGTTATTATTGAATTGAATTAAAATAAGAAAAAAAAACACTTTTCAGATGCTTGAGATAATTGTTTGTTAATTGGATTTCAATAGAAAGCAACCCAGACATCTTAGCATCTGGAATACTATAGATTTTGTTTGTTTGATTGCCATGCTAGTTAAGGAGAATTTACAATTTTGTTTTCTCTGATGTTGAAAACATCAGCTCCCAACATGCAAAGGAGAGTGGGTGTGAAGTCTAATAGATTTTGTGGTCAGACTTTTTTCAACGTCTACTTTTATCTCATTTATATGAAAAGTTATGGCCTGTGATTTAAACAGGTCCTTTTGCAGGAAAAGTTAAATGTAAAATAGAAATAATAGTCTTATTTTTCCAAATTTGGAAAGAAAACTATATAGGAACATCTTCAACTCATCTAAACTGTAACACAGTCCCTCATTCATAGGCTTCACTTTTCTCACTTGACGTTTTCCAGAATGTTAATAAAATTCAAAGAGCCCTTGCTGTGCACCTGACTATTGTGCACCTGCATTTATTTTAAGCAATGCATGTCCATAGAGTCATACTGATGACTTTTGCACAGGAGAGAAAATGGCACTCACCATAAGTAAAGACAAAACCAATTTATTTTTTGAATGAAAATGGTGAGGCGACACAATATTTTCTAAATAAACACACGTTACCTTTACCAAACTCATAGAATGACAGACACTCTTGCTAGAATTTATGTGTGTTGTTTTACTTAGTCATCTTAGCATGCCTACGGTGAAGTATTATCAATGTTACATGTGAGATTAGGGAAGGAAATTGAGCTCACCACCTTACCCAGGGTTCACACCGGTAGAACGAGGTAGAACCAGGATTCACATGGCCACCATCTGCTTTCAAGCACTAGGCTTAGCATTCTTTGCCTGTCAGATCTCTACAGCAGAGACCTGGCCTTCGATCCTTTGATGTTCCATTCCACTCACCCATGCTCAAGTAAACAGAGACTCACTAAAAAGTCCAATAAAGCATGTACTCATCTGCATCTTGGGTGACACAGGAATTGTGTTTACAAATATGGCATACAAAGAATTTCTGGGGAAGGAGGGATATCACAAAGTAGAAAACAGAACTCTCTAAGCTGGCAAAAAGCATCATTTGAATCAACAAAATCAATATTCCAATTCTTATAGACTATCAATCTTAGCCTCTCAAGAAAAGTTTTTCTTCATTCAAATACAGAAATTTACTCACAGGATTTAGATCAGCAGCTACAAAATATGTCCCATCTATAGGTGGGCCTATTATCCGTTCTAGTTTTCTATTATTGCTGTAACAAATCTTCACAAATGTGATGGCTGACAAAGGCACAAAGCTGTCATCTTACAGTTCTAGAGGTTCAAAGTCTGGTATGGTCTCACCAGACTAAAACCACGTTAAGCTACATTCCATTCTGGAAGCTCCAAAGGAGAATGCATTTCCTTACTCACTGGACTGTTGGTGGAATCCAGTTCCTTGCTGTTGTAGAACTGAGACTGCTGTTTTCTTGCAGGCCTTAAACTGAGAGCCATGCCCAGCTTCCACAGCCCACTGCCTTTTTCGGCGAATGGCCTGCTTCCTCTATTTTCAACGTCAGCAATGGTGGGTTACTCTGAGTCTTTCTCACATTGCATCTCCCTGACTCATTCTTTGGCCTTTTTCTTCAGGATCATGTGATTAGTTTGTCTTTTTTAGATTAACAGGATAATCTCAAAGTTCCTCATTAAATCACATCCCTTTGCCGTGAAAGATAATGTATTCACAGATTTCAGGGAGTTCATGGATATTTTTGTGAGGGACTTTATCCTGTCTACCACATTTTTTAGTCATACATTTTAATTCTGAATGTTTTACATATTAATGCCCCTAATATCAGACATATGAAGTCACAAATAAGAACAAACAGGTGTAAACACTTTCTGAAAAAAATCTGTATGAATATAACCAAAATTACCATGAGGATACCAACACTAACCAAATCAAGCATCTTTGCTGATCCTCCAAAATGAAATTCCTCAACGTCTCAGGTTTTTGATGGATGTTGAAAAGTTGGAGATTCTTTTTCTTTGGGGGAAAAGTTTATTTTTCAATAGCTTTTACTTACCTTCCCTAAAAGCTACTGGATCTGAACTGGAGAGTTCCCATCGCTCCTGAGGAAAAGCATCAGAGGCGAAAAAATGGAAAGAAAAACAAAAAGGAAACAATTAAATGGTATTTATCTACAGCTTATTAACTATATAAAACAATCCTTTCAAGTAATTTCCATGCTGACTATTAGAATATAGGTTGGGGTATTACCAATCTTTAGTAGTCAGACAATATTCATTTGAAAGAAGTCTCTCAACAAGAAAAACAGGTGTCTACTGTTATCAGAAAGTGCTTTATAGATTTGAGCCCTTTTGTTTATAAGTACATTTGAGAACCTTTTCTAGGGACACACCTGAGAGTGAAAGTGAATTATCAATGACAGTCTTTTTTGGGGAGAAAAAAAAAAAAAAAGAATCAGTGGTTTAACACTAATTTCTAATCAGATCCTACAGAAAGGAACAGCCCGCACGGCAGCTGTACTTTTCCCAGGGTTAATTACCTTTCACTGCTCTCTACTAATGAGTCAGCTGTTCCTGTCATTGCACACTACACTGGTTCATCTGGAACTCTAGCTGTGGACAAACACAGGAGTGACAGTCTCATTTACATATGGGGTGGGGGCACGTTGTGTGAAGATTTCAAAAGGATTTTAAAAAAATCCTTTAATTCTCATGCGTTTCCATGCTACAAATATTTTTACAAAGAAGGTTTTACTTGGTCAGCTACTGTTTTTCCTCCCAGGTCCCTGGGTTCACCACTAGTAGATGCAGAAGAGTGCCGAATCCTTGGAAAGGGGCAAACTTCACCATCTTCACAGAAAGCTTTGTCTCACTGATGTCTTAACCCCAGAACAATCACCCTATAGGGAGCCTCAAAGGTTTGCAACTTCTTTCAGTGGTGAAAAGACTTCCTAAAAAAATCATACTACAGAAAATTAGATTCAAGGTAAAAAATGACCTAAGAGAAAAAGAACCCCCGAATATCTTAGCATTGCTTGTACATGAAAAGTGAATGAGAAAATGGAGAGTTTTACAAAAAACTGTGAATCGAAAGCTGTGTTTTGACCTAATATGTTTAGATCATTGTGGGAAATTATATATATGTATGTGTATGTATGCATATATATATATATATATATATATATATATATATATATATATATAATTTATTACTCAGATAAGAGCCCTTTTATCCAGATAATGGCTCTGCTCCCCATCCCATAATGCAGACACAATGTGCCCTTATGTATTTTCTATGCTTGCAATCAGAAGTTTAAGCATCTCTTCCCTCCTTTTAATTACAGAGGTTACTGAGAGGATGTACAAACAGTAAAGCCTCCACTGAGTTTCACTTGCCCAGCCTCCAGAATGCCTCTGAGTAAAGGATGCTTTCCCACTGCTAAGTTCCTGACTCTGAATCTTCACATTTTTGAACAGTGGCTTTCAGACATTAATATGCATCTGGATGGCTTTTTTTTTTTTTTTTTTTTTTAGACTGAGTTTTACTCTGTCACCCAGGCTGGAGTGCAGTGCAGTGGCACGATCTCAGCTCACTGCAACCTCTGCCTCCAAGATTTAAGCGATTCTCCTGCCTCAACCTCCCAAGGAGCTGGGATTACAGGCACGCACCACCATGCCCAGCTAATTTTTGTATTTTTAGGAGAGACAGAGTTTTACCATGTTGGCCAAGATGGTCTCGATCTCTTGACCTTGTAATCCGCCGGTTTTGGCCTCCCAAACTGCTGGGATTATAGGCATGAGTCACTGCCCCTGGCCGAGTGGCTTCTTAAGGGGAATGTTCTGGTGCTGACACTCTGAGGGTCTCACAAGGGTCCAGGTGTCCCTGCCTCTCCATGGACTGCACCGAACAGCAGAGTGTCAGAGCAGTGGCTCTCGAACATCAGTGACATCAGAATCTCCTGGAGGGCTTGTGAAATTCCAGGCTATGCATTCTACAGATCTGTGGTGGGGCCTGAGAATGTGCATTTTTAAGTTTCCAGATGATGTTGGTGCTGAGAAGTTTGGGCACCATACTTTGAAAACTACTGGCCTAGGTACTAGCTATTGAATGCATTGAAGAATCCCAACCCCCAAAAGCTAAATACACCCACGTGGAGGCGAAGCACTTCCACTTCATTTCTGAGCTATTTATTTGCTCTGGTTTTAATACTTTATGATCAAAAGGAACAGATAAAAAGTGAATGTTCTGGCCCATCGTTGAAGTACATTCTCAGAACCACTTTATAGCTTATTGAACTTGATCTTCCCTTCAGATGAAACCATTCATGGCAAGAAAGAAACAGCAATTATGTACTTCTCCATTCAAGGTGCCATTATCAAATATAAGCTCACAAATTACAAATCTAAGAGTTTGCACAATATTCAAACTTAACCAAAAGCAAATAAAATATGGGAATGAATTAATTACAAATTATATCATAAAAACAACTTTAACTGTCAAGCAAAGATGCGAATTTCCTTGACACATTCAATGTTTTTATCAGCCCTAGTAAATTCTGAATTACTTTCCAAATGATACAACGTGTTTCTTATGTACAGTGGTATATGAGATGCTCTTTGTTGATAGCTGCTATTTTGAAGAACACATTATCCTGAAAACTTCTTGGAGGATGGAAACATTTTAGTCTAATACTAAAAAAATATATTTTCATTACTGTTCATGTAAATATCTCTGTGGTAAAGCTCTTACAAGGGTATTTTGCAATATGGTTCACAGGAATACATATTTTAGAAAGAGGGAAATAAGATAAATTATAGACTGAAACATCTGCTAAATATCTTTCAGTAAAGAGATGGAGGGTGCTTCTCTAAACAGCAAAACATTGACCAAGCAGAAGTCGGGCACTTTAGCACTGATCTGCTCAGTTCAGGAAGGACTAGTGAGTGTTCCAAACATGAACTTATCGACTAGTTCTCCAGTAAAGCTGGGAGAATGTAAGCGCAGGAAAAAGATTTTAAAAGAACCAGTGCCCCTTCTAAATTCTCACTGCCACCTGCTTGCTTTTGCTGTTTCACAGATGTTTATTTGACAAAGCTACTTTAGAATATCAGTCTTATCTTAATATAAGAGGATAATAATATCACAAATAAGAAATTTGATTCATACCAGTGTAACCAACCCTCTTGGTATAGAACAGTATTGTTTAATTAATTCATTAATTTATGCACTCAAATCTTCATTAAGCACCTATTCTTCTGGAGAATGTTTGTATAAACCAGTGGGGCCCTCAGTGAGTGGAGAGGGGTGTACGGTGAATGCCACTCCAATGGTGAAGCTATTTTTGTTGCTTAAATCAGAGGCAATAAAAGAAAAATCTTCCTGCAGATGTGGGGGCCTAATTTATTTCTTGATTACATGGGAGAACAATCTGATGAGTTTGACAAAACTCTGCTCTAGGAGTACAGACATCAGGGTGTGTAGTTTAAGTGAAGAAAATCTCTAATCCTGTAACTCTTGGATGGACGTACACTCTGCTGTCATGGGTGTGGACCTGCACGTGAAGGTCAAGATCGCAGTTGATCCTCTCTCCTTGGATGGTTTTCAGGAGTTACAATGATTCAGACTAAATATGTGCCTCTGGTTATTTGAACATCTGGTTGATAGATGTCTCCCATGACCAATCAGAGGTCAATATTTTTTTTATCAGGTGTTTTGTCCAATGCGTGCCCAATTTCAGTCTATTATTTTCCTTGGCTTTCACTAGCCAATTGGCTTCTCTCTAATTCCCTAGTATTATCTTTTTGGCTTTCTTTTTTAAGTACATTGAATTTAAGAGAGTTTGTTTGTTATTGGATATTATAACTATATATTTGTGGAATACAAAGTGATGTGTGTATACAGTGCAGAATTATTGAAGCAAGCTAATTTGCATATTCATCACCTCAAATATCTATCATCGATTCCTCTTGCCTAACTGAAACATTGCACCTTTGCCTAACACCTCCCCAAATCCCACTCCCCAGCCTCTGGTAACTACCATCCTGCTCCCTGACTCTATGTCCAGTCCTTCTTGGTTTTCTGTCCATGGTAATGAATTATGTATTTTTTGGTATGTTAAATTTTTCCGAAAAAAAAAGCATATACAGGAAAAAAATGCCTTAGAAGAACTACAGAATCTACACCTAATTTGTACAAGGTGCTTTCAAAGTGAATGACTACCACTATGGAAAACAGTGTGGTGATTTCTTAAAGAACTAAAAGGAGAACTACCATTTGATCCAGCAACCCCGCTACTGGGTATCTACCCTGAGGAAAAGAAGTCATTATACAAAAAAAAACACTTACACACGCATGTTTACAGCAGCACAATTTGCAATTGCAAAAAACGTGGAACCAACCCACCAAATGTCCATCAATCAATGAGTGAATAAAGAAACTGTAGTGAGTGTGTGTGTGTGTGTGTGTGTGTGTGTGATGGAATACTACTCAGTCACAAAAAGGAATGAATTAATGGCATTTGCAGCAACCTGGATGGCATTGGAGACCATTAGTCTAAGTGAAGTAACTCAGGAATGGAAAAATCAAACATTTACGTTCTCACTCATAAGTGGGAGCTAAGGGGCGAGGATGCAAAGGCATAAGAATGATACAATGGACTCTGGGAACTCCGGGGGAGAGAGTGGGAAGAGAGTGAGGGATGAAAGACTACAAATTGTGTTCAGTATACACTGCTTGGGTGACAGGTGCACCAAAATCTCACCAATCACTACTATATAATTTACTTGGGTAACCAAATACCACTTGTTCCCTCAAAATGTATGGAAATAAAAAAAAAGTTTTAAAAGCACAAGCATTCATAAAAAAATGACACAGATGAATGCCACTTAAAATATAAATAAAAATCGGCTGGGCCCAGTGGCTCAAGCCTGTAATCCCAACACTTTGGGAGGCCGAGGCAGGTGGATCACAAGGTCAGGAGTTCGAGACCAGCCTGGCCAATATGGTGAAATCCTGTCTCTACTGAAAAATACAAAAGTTAGCCGGGTGTAGTGGTGCACACCTGTAGTCCCAGTTACTCGGGAGGCTGAGGAAGAAGAATTGC